AGGCTCCAGGCAGATTCTTCAAAGCTCTGAACATAACCAGAACCTGGTATGATCAGAAAAAGCAGAGGCAGAATGCTTTCCGCAAACCACAGGCCAAAGCAGAAGGTCCACATCCATGGACAGTTCACGGTAAGGCTCAGAACAAGATTTCCTAAGTTAGGGTTTCTCCATCCCAAGAGCAGTATCATTACCTCAATCTGAATACAGTTAAGAAAAACAGAGAGAGAGAGAGAGAGAGAGAGAACTTAACCTGAGGGTACTCACGAAGAACTCAATCTGCTCTGTCATGGGCTGCTAAATAAATAATGTCTCAGCTTAAAAGGTGTATGACGGAGTTCAATAATCAGAGCCAGCCGCCGGAGTCTGTGGATGGCAACCTCATTGCTGCAGTCCAGTAGAAAGAAAACTTCCTGCCTTTGGATGTAGGCTTCCTTCCTCTTATTCTCTGCGCTCATGGGAAGCTTTCTTCTCTGTACCACGGAGTTTAACAGCCATCTAGCATTCTTATCAGTACATATTGCTTTTCTGAACTAGTGCCCTGCTATAGAGTGTTTCAATGATAGCCACTCATGTTTGACTGGAAGTCAATAGCAAACTCTCCAATAAGTAATATGCATTGTTTCTCAGATCATCTTAATATATAAAGCAGAATTAAAGGGAACAAATAAGTGTGTTAAATCACTAACTTTATAAGTAGAAAGAAAGGGCTCACACCAGTTTTGGCAAGGCAAGCCTGCATCAGCTTGGGCAGGCTTAAGAAGCAAGTCAGCAAATAGCTGTCTGAATTCAAGAAAGCCATGCTATGTCATCTCCTATGTATTTGGATAGGGGATAATATTATAGATCTTAAGAGCTGAAGTATGCCTGTTAATATCTACAAATCATCAAAACATTAATGGTGACCACCTTTTTTTAAAAAAAATTATTACCTGTTATGTAACTGCACCCTCAGCAAAACTTCAATAAGCTTGCAATACAAAAAAGACTCAAATTCACCTTACAAATTCAAACTCAACCAAATTAGACTGATGAACACATGTGTGCCTAAGCCTAGCCAAGCCCTAATAGGTATATTTGCTCATCATGTACTTTTTACAACAAAGTATTGATATCCATCCATGTGTGTAAGCAAAGAAAGTAAGGCTCCAAGAGGGTGAGTCTGAGGGCAAGTCCACACAACACTAGTACATTGCACAGATACAACCTGTGCTTGCTTTTCTTCATGCATACTAAGCACCAATGTTTGTCATCACTGCCCCTGATGAGTCTCAGGGAAAACTGGACCATTCACTCATTACTGAATAACAGGCCTCTCTATCTATTGTCAATTTAATTGTGGATAGAATAATAGCTGAGGTGTGTGTGTGTGTGTGTGTGTGTGTGTGTGTGTGTGTGTGTGTGTGTGTAAAATAGAGTAAGGAACCTGTTATCACACTTTACTTTATTCTTTGCTTTATTTTATTGGAGATATATATATATATCCAGAACTAGAACTATAGGCCCTCTAGCTAGGTAAAGCAGAAGTGGTGAAGGCAGGCCCCAAGCTCCAAGCATCTTACTTAGAAGCTGCAAGTATTTCTGAGAAAAACACCAGAAGATTCTGGAGGAAGAATATCATACAATGAAAAGATGACACAATACAGAGGCTCATTAAAACCTCATATTAAAGAGTCCCTGGAAGGACTAGGCTGAAAGTGTGGCCTCCCCTAATGACACCTGCTTCTGCTACTTCTGGTTTGTGGGTGATCCTAGCATCTTATTTAGAATAAATTGCTTTAAATGCATACATGTCACAGGAGTAAATATTGTGTAGTACAGCCCAAAATACTCCTGCCAATTGGATATCAGGACATTAGAGGCCAGCTCTATAGGACACAGGGGCATCAGGATATTAGAGGCCAGCTCTGCAGGACATGAGGCCATCAGGGTATCAAAGGTCAGCTCTCCAGGACACATGCCTACTTCTGCATGCCTCTACCTTTTTATCAGTTAGAAAGAGTGACAGTCTGGACAGCCTAAGAAGGATACTGTCTGGAGTGAAGGCCCTGAGGCATGATTCATCTTGTGACTTGTTTATTGAGGTTTCCCATTTTAAAACCAGGTACAAAAGTCTTGTCATGGGGCACAAATAATACAAATACTTAAGTAACTCTTCTTGGGGGCTGGAGAGAGGTCTCAGCAGTTAAGAGTACAGACTGCTCATCCAAAGGATCTGGGTTCAATTTCCAGCACCCACATGGCAGTTCCAAATGTTAATTCCAGTTCCAGGGGTTCCAACACCCACACACAGACATGCTTACAGGGAAAAAACACCAGTGAACATAAAATAAGTAACTCTTCTTTAAAATGCAAAGCCTGTATATGATGCATGAATATGTAACTTGGCCCAATAATTAGATGCTGTTATGTACAAAGCATAGGAAATCCTAACTAAGAAATATTTTCTTGATAGGTGGTCACCACAGGTGCCTGGTTAAGGTCTCCAGTGACTTAGAGTTTCAAAGAGATTCCAGTGACCTTGAAATAGGCTGCATGAGAGTGGAAATAAATATAATAAATCTATAGGTAATGTACAATATGCTAGTGGACACTTATTTTATAGAGATCATAGACAATTGCAGAGCCATCCAAGAGATATCAAACTGTCTGGCAATCTTCACTTCTGCATGGCAGGCAGTGTGCGTGATGAACTTAGTTCTAAAGCTTCCTGTCTTCATTATTAGGACTGTCACTTACCTCTGACAACACTGTCACCATCTTTGTCCTCACTAAAGCACGGATGAAACTCCAGATGGCTGAAATGACTTAGCTAAGGCCACACTGACAATCATACTACCATCCAAGCTTTCTGGATCACTCCCAGATCTCTGAAACCTAAGTGCATGTATCATTTTCCCCTTGGGCTTCTGATATTTCTATCATATCAAGGATATTTTGTCAGTGTATATGTCTAAATCATCTCTTTTCTCCCTAGTCTATGATTTAAGCAGTGGGACTACAATGCTTTTTTGTGAGATTTGTTTCTTTGACAGAAGGTCTGTGATTGTGGGTGCTTTGGGTTTGTGCTGAATATGCAAGTGGGTCTTGAGCTTTGGGGAAAGAAGTAGTAAGGGGTGGGGCCCATAGAGCAAACTGGGCTAATGCACCTTCCCCCAACTTCGCATCATGACATCCATGACTTTGGAGGGAAGTGATAGTCATTTGGTGGCCTCAATGTGCCCTTATCCCCTCAGACAAGTGGTCCCAGAACTCAGTAACCAACCAAGTAACTGCTGATCCTGAGGCTCACAAATACCGTCCTCCACATCCCCCTCTAGATTCACACATCTTTGTAAAAAGGTGCTGTCCTGGTGGATAGCAGAGCATCCTTTAGAAACCCAGTGCACTCTGAAGCTTGCTCACCTGAAGCATTCACTCTAGGATTGTAAAAACAAATGAGATGAAGGATTAGGACACAAGTGACAAGCAAGGGATAGAAGGAAGATCAAGTGTTAAGCTGGTCCTTGCATTCATGGTTGAAATATGAGCCATCACAGAGTAGCTTCTCAAATCATGAAAGGAGAGCACTGCAGAGGAATTTTTAGACAATTTGGGGGACTTCCTGCTTAGAAGCCAGGAAAGGCCAGGACATACTCCATCCAGGGAGGCAGAAATTAGAAACATCCCAGCCCCACAGACTTACAGAATACCACTTGGCTTAATCTGCATGCCCTTTAACTTTCCTCACAGCAGGAGGAGGATACAAAGCCATGCTATCTGCTACACAAATAAGAGGGAAAAGGCAAGGACCAGATACAAGATGATGCCATAATGCAGTAAGTGGGGAAAATGTAGGCTATCCTTAAATTCCATCTTTGTGAAAGCTGACAGTCAACTGGGTACCATCTACAGAACAAAGGCACAGCTACTCTAAAGAATCAGGCTTGCTAAAGTGGCAAAGAACTGGCCAAACTCTAAAGCTACTTTTCAATAAAACAATGACATTTAGAAGGATTTTCACAAATAGTAAATTGTTAGATAAATATGCACACTGCTATGGTTGGTATTCTTTGGTTAAACCAGGTTAGCCCGGTTCTGTAGGGTTCTTCCTTTATGTATGATCATTATTCTTGTTATTCCACAGGACAATATGAACTTAAAAGTGGGCTCAACTGTTTTCTATTTTCCCCCGTAGAACCTCACATACATGACTGTCTTTTAACCGTGGGCTGTGACTTCTGCTATACTTTCTCTTTGAGACTGGGTCTCATTGCATTGCTCAGGTTGGCTCCCAAGAAAGGAGTTGAACTGCAGCTCTCTTTGAACTTCCTGAGCAATTGTGATTACAGGCCTGTGCCACCACACATGGGTCTTTTTAGTTTTTAATTTGGGGATGGATGTACAGGCACTAGAAGAGTTGTACCCTGACCACATAGAAAGCTGGTTTCTTCAACATTTAAAATCATAATCCCTTTGCACCAACTCAGGGTCTTAAATAGTTGGAGAGGGTGGGGGGTATGTGTGTTGTAAACTAAGTAAACATACACAGGCCAACAAATTATTTTGACCCTTGCTGCAGAATCTATATGAATAAACAAATTGGCCTTGGGAAGTAACGTTAATTGCCTTAAATGGTTGCATTGTATTTTGTTAATCACTTCTTAACATATTTCTGTCTTTTGCAGATATTGTTGAACACACAGCACACCCTAGAAAATGTCCATATTCTAGGACTGTGATATTTCTTGTCACTACCCAGTCCTGATGGCTATCTCCCAGGAATGGGTAGCCATCAGGAGCACACAAGCTGACATCACTAGGCACTGGCCACAACAGGCACAGTTTGGTTGCCAGACTAGGCCAGACTTTTGTATTGAATACCATCAACACGCTGGATAGGTATTAAATATTCAAAAATGAATTTTTTTTTCTCATTGGATAAGTACTATATGAACTTAGAAGAGGGAAAACTCCTAGGATAATATGAAGACCATCCTAGGATGGCAGTGAAGCACGCTTACCGTCCAGGTGGCCGACTTGGCTGTGCTTGACTGCTGGAAGGACACATCAAAGCTGTGTGGGCCTGGGTAATCTGTGTTAGAAGGGATGGCAGGGGATGGAGAGAGGGCATCAAAGGTGGAGCTGGGCTGTGCGTAGGGCGAGGGCGCCGTCACACTGTTCTGCGCATGGTCTGTGTTGTAGGGGCTGGTGGACGAGGAGCCGTTCTGAATCTGCTGGTCCATGCTGTTCAGGAGCCCCAGGTTTGTGTACTGTGGCTGCAAGGACACCCACACACCCCAACGTTAGTCATGTAAGCTTGTTATTGGGAAAAAAAAGAAAAAAAGAAGGAAAGATAGATATTAAATAAATATCATCATTTGGTGTGCTTTGTGCAAAACCAGACATGAGGTCCTAAATAGCTCATGTAACAAGTAAAGCAAGCTGTCCGTGGTACAAGGAAACAGCCAGTACAGCTGGGAGAATACTGGAAAATAGAATATATGCTAACTCATAACAGGCAGTATGCCCAGGGCATGGTACTGCTTAAAAAATATTTTTAAGTAAAATGCTGTCTGTATTATTGTTTTCTTTAAAAAAATTAAAAAAAATAAATCAATAAAAAAGCCTAGTACAATATTCACAAGACACCACCTGATAGATTTATAGGAGTTAATAGGAGTTACGCACCAAATTGTTGTACATATAGGGCAAAATCTCTTTTTAGCATTAAATCTAAACTTATTTGACAGTACACCATTACCCTGGGGACCTGTTTGAATGACTGGGGTGAGACAGGCACCGTGGTAAGGGGGATCCCACCACACTAGTTTTTGAGATGGGATTTTGCTGTATTTCTAAGGTTAGACTCAAACTCTATTTCAGCCATTCTCCTGCCTCACTGCCTCATTCTTTAGAGTGGCTGGGTCTGCCAGGCCTGAACCACCATGGTCACTGTTACCACATATACTGGAAAAGTAGCCTGCTGATCTGGTCTAATTTTTAAGAATCTGTCCATTCCTCTTTGTAGAAATTCTATTTTTTCTACAATACAACATACGTAGCTAAACGACATACCACCTAGTTGGGGATAAAATTTGTGGTGGACATAATTCAGGACTTGAGCTCATGTAACGCCAACAGACAGGTGCTGTTGTCTTCTCTATGAAAAGACCAGGGGCAGAGTTGGTTCTCAGTGAGATGTTTGTTGAATTAATCAAAACCTTCCCATTTACCTGCAAAACAACTTTCCCATTAACAGAGATGGGGATATGATCTCCCCTCCAGACAGAGCAGAAATTCTGCAACAACCTGAAGTCAGCTGGAAGGGACAGTCTTCCCTTAACCAAAGTCACACTAAGCCAGTTTCCAGAGGGGTCACTGCCTTGGGGAAAGGACAGTTTCTATTGGGGGAAACTTTTGACCCATGCAAGTTTCATTTTCTATTCCAGATAAAGAAGGGGGAGAGAATCTTCCCACTGGTACACAGTTTTAAAAGAAGGCTAGTTTTTAAAAAAGAAATATAACCCCAAGAGACCCAGGCTGTGGAAAATCATGAAGGACCAAACAATATTTTAAAAGATTAAAAAAGAAAGAAAGAAAAGAAAACAGAAAGAATAAATGGGGTCTTGAATTTTGTTTTCTATTTCAAACTTTAATAATATGATTTTATCCAACTTAATTCTGTTCCAGGAGTAATAAATGGGCTCAGTCATTCCATTCAGTCCAGAGAGCATCTGCTGAGATGCTCTCAGCCACACACCCATTCCATTACACTCATGCGTTCACATTCCACTGCTGAATGGCACCTCCCATTCACTCTGTAAATAACTATTAATCTATTTACACTTATCCCCATGCTGACAAGAACAGCTGTTTGTCTTGTCTTCCCTCCCTTCTGACTTCAACAGTTCCTACCCATCTCCTACCCTCAATCCTCAATTCTCAACCTCTCTCCCAGACAGGAGGGGCTAAACTACAGGTAGACACCAGGGAAGTAAAAAAAAAAAAAAAAAAAAAAAATGTGTCTGCACCTTCCTGAACTAAAGCTTTTAGGTAGCAAGCCGGAGGCCATGGCTTGGAAAGGGGATTGAAGAAATCTTATTTGTGTTTAGTTAAGGGTCAGTATACAAAGCGCTCTTGGAGTCCTGTAGGAATCAGATAATGCTGGCAAGGGCACGTGCTTCCCTATAGCAGGACAATTAGGGAGGCAGTGGTCCCTGACAAAAAGGAAAAAGAAGCTAGCTGAACACTTTCTCGCAGGCAGTAAAATGACTGCTGGCTCACCCCTCCCTCCCCCTCCGGCTACACAGCAGAAACATCAACTAATTGTGGGCTTGGATGAGAACAAAGAAACACCGGCCCTTTGAATTTTGCCCCAAATACATATAAAGAAAAAAGTTAAGGGTTGAGGTTTAAAAGCCAGTAAGCAAACACATCAATTCTCTAAGGACTTAAGAAAAAGTAAAATTCCATTTACAGAGGCATCTAAAAGGCTGGCCCTGCCCTGGCTGCAAGGCTGAACATACTTGACACCAAAGAAGAAACTTCCAAAGAAGAGTCTTCCAAAACTCACTGAGAGCCCAGTGGTTGCTGACAGATCTGCTTCCAAAGCCATGCAGTTGAGTAAAATCATAGACTAGGAACTACCAAAACCAGCATGATTTCATCCTACAAATTCCTTAATAGATATAATATAAACCCAGAGTTGTCAGTATTGTGTAAACTCAATTTGTTATCCAGCAATAAAACATAGAAAATCATTTCAATTTAAATTCTTCCCAAAGTATGCTTTAAAAAGAAATCAATACAAGCAATGTACTTAATTGTCTAAAAAAATAAATAAATAAATAAACTATAAACCCAGCACTTCTTTCTAATTGTGGAGTTAGATGATAACAAAGAAAAATATCTTTGATTTTTTTTTCTAATGTCTACAAAGAGAAATGAATAAATGAGGACCCACAGTGAAAACAAATGTACATGGGGAAGTCCTATTGGACACAGGGAATCAGAAGTTAAATTTGAAATATCCAGTATTTAAAAGAATTCTCACTTCTTCCTTCTTTGATTGGAGGAGTGACTGCATACATTGACTGAAGAGCAAACCAACTTTGCTCAGAATCCTAAGGGTTCCCCAGACAGGACAGGAAAATAAATTCTAGTATTTAAAGCAAGATGAAAATCCTGGGCCTCTACATACATTGTTAAGTAATTTTCAAGTCTGATATGAAGAAGTTAAGCAATGCCCAATGGCATTCTGAAGACGTTCCCTGGAGGTCTCAAATGGAATGCTTTAAGTGAACCGTGTTTAATCCTAATGCAAACCATCATTCTCCAAAGCTGGGCAGGTGGTAGAAGAATCATTCTCCAGCCAATTGAAGCTGTGCAGAGGAGGAAACTGTGCTGTCCCCTTCTTTACTCTTGGTAATGCCGTGAACACACAGAGGAGAAAGCAGTTAGGCTGGAATGCTAATTGGTTATTGATGATGACAAGGAAGGTTGTCAGACACTAGAAAGTGACATTTGTGCATCAGACACAAACCCTGCCATGGGAAGAATTCCATCGGGCATTTGTGTTTCTTTTATAACAGAGTATCAGGGTATTTGAAATGAAATACAGAGGAGAGTCTCTTCTTAACGACCAAGTGTCTTGATCTCAGAAAATCCCTCAGGTCATCTGCAGTTGCACACATACACAGAAAAACTGGATGCCAATGTCATGTGCCCATCCTGTCACATTTGAGAGAAGGGTTTGCCTTCTTTTCAGAAAATATGAACACCAAAATGGGTACAATTTGTCTGTTACCCGCTATGTTCTTTATTAAACAAGACAATTGGTTTCCCCTGACTTTAGCCAGTCAGTTAATCTTCTTTAGAAGTTATGGGAAATTAGGAACTCCTTGCTTGGACTGGAAATATCACCTGTGCTTATGCCTGAAGCATATTCACAACCACCACAGATTAGTTGATCTTCACAATGAAAAGATGAAACACGTGGTGCTCAAAGGATGGACTACACTCTTGGATGCCCCTTAGAATGCTGAGGGACACAGACATGGTTGTGACAAGAATAGGGATTCCTGTGGTCGAAAATCTGTTTGTTTTCAACAGGAAAAAAGAGTATGTACAACTACAGCAGCCAGATAAAAGGAAGGACATTGCCTCTGCCTCCTGCTTCTGTGTTAAGTTCTGCATTCTACACACTCTGCCCTCATCCTACTAAACTTCAGAATTAAGACAGCATCAGAGAAGACTAGATTTTCTCTGAGTGATCTTTCACAGTGTCTTAAGAATACAACCCCTGTAGCTTCATCTTATGTGTTTCTTTCTTCAGTTATAGTCTTGTGACCACTTTAGACTTTGAACATGCGGTGGACCTGGATTTTCTTCATATGAGCTCAATCATGTTTTGATATGTTGCTACAAATGGAGTCCTTCTTAAACACCCAAATCTATAAAGAGAAAAATTCCTCCCCACAAATTCATCTGTATAAAGCCAGTATCCTAATCTCTCCTTCTTAGATATTGCTGTCTGTGCTGGGTATGTTGAGATCATGTGGAAAAATAACTAACATTTCATTTGGAAAAATATTTTTGGCTCATGAATGGCTGTTAGGTAAGGCTAGGGGATTAGACATCTTCAGCACTTCTCATGTTTCTATTTGGATTGTAGAAGTGTAACAGAACTCTCAGACTGGTGGCATGGGATTAAGTGTGACCCTGCATGCAATGTGCTCTTCCCTGGGGTGATAAAGGTGAGCAAATTTGACCCCAGCTTCCTAGGGGCTAAGAATCTACATAAAACCATGAAGACAATGGAACAACAGCACCAGTTCTCACATTCTATTAGCCCCCTCTGTGAAGCTATTTTAAAATAATGTTAGCACCCTACTTCCCCAACAGGTTCACGAAACCATTATTTTGTCTTTGTTAAGATTTCCCTGATCAAACCAAAAAAAAAAAAAAAAAAATTAACTGTCTCAGTGGCACAGCTAGTTCCCTCAGTGGGTATAATCTCTGGCCTCAAGCTTAATGGAGGAGTCTTTGTGAGCCTCTATGTCTCCCCTGGGAAAAGAAAACAGTTTCTTCATGACCTTGGCTTTGTAAAGCATTCATTCTCTTACTTGTTAGGTTAGCACAGTATTTTCATGCAATAATATTAGCTTTTCAACAAATACTGCCTAAGGGAGAAATGCTTGCCATTTTTACGTCTTCCACCACCTGTCCCAATTCAGAAAATGATGGTTTGTTTTATGCTAGAATTGAACATAATTAA